TGTGTTTTCTGGCAGTTCGTGATTTGAGTATTGTTGAATACCTTAGATTCTGCACCAGAAAACATTCCAGTGGATATTGTATTCTGAGCAACACATTGAAACTCTCTTTGGGGTCAACAAAGTAACTCAAATGAAGCCACTCAGTGCAGTTCTTTAAAAAACTATCTTCTTGGAATGGGGTTAGTATATGCCGAAATCTTGGTTTTAGTGGGTTTGCAAATTTCACTTATTTCGTCAGTTTATTTTTTTAAAAAATAGGATCTCAATATTCTAGTTTGAAATATTTCACAGTGGTTTAAACAGCTGCAGGTCAAATTTCATATCTTCCAAAATGCGTTGTAAAAAATGTATTTGAAATGAACAGTACAAATTAGGTATTTGCATGCACGTACCTCTTCTAACCATTCCAGCAATAAAATGTCATGGCTGGGACTTGTTTACTCCTTCATTCTTTGCTAGTGTGGATTTGTCCTTCACCCAAGTCTGATGCAGTAGAAAATATGAAAGGGAAGGCCTTGGTTCAGTTTGGATTTCTTTTGCAGGCTAATTTTTTGCATGGGGAGGGAGGCTGTCCAAACTATGTTCTGTGCTTAATACTTATATCTTCTTTTAAAGCGACTAATGCTGCTTCTGTACTGGAAGTTAATATCTCCAGTTCTTAGTGAATTGGGAAATTGCCCATTTAGAGCCCTTTTTTATTATTACCCGTCAGAATAAGTATTGTGGTACAAAAGGAAAATGAGGAAATATCTTCCATCTGTGCTCCGGGGGAGCCGTTCTGTCGCCTAACTCAAGCCTGCTGCTGTTTCTCTGTTCTGTCCTTTCTGTTCAGAACAAACTGACACACATACAGGGAAATGATGGGTTTAAAATTACTTGCAGTTACTCACATTTTGGCTGACGACCTATTTGGTCAGAATCTAAAGCTTTGGCCTTTCAGAGTTTTAATGCTATTCCTATGTAAGATTTTGAAAATAAATAAATAAATTGGGGCTTTCAACAAACTTTTAAAGTTCTCTAGTTACAGAAATTCTGGGTGTCTTATGTATAGAAAAGTGAAAATGTATCTATGTATGTATTTTCCAAGATGGCTTTGACATCCAGAGAGCTCTGTGATTCCTGGAAACAATGGATCCAGACTAAACGTGGCACACAGACCCATCAGGAACAACTTTAAATACTGACCGGGGGCGGGGGGGGGGGGGCAATGACAGGTGGGAGTTGTAGTTTATCTACATCCTCATGGGACCATTCATAAAATACAATAAAAACATGACTTTTTCTAATAAATAGTGTTAAAAATTACCTTATCCGGGTATTGTCGGGTATCTAAGTTAGTCAGCTGTAAAAACTGGATGTGAGGACAACAGCAAAACTTTGAGTTGGAGCTTAGTCGTTTAAAACAATTTTTGGTCATTCCTACTTGCCAGTATTTCTGTATGAGGTTATAATAAATAAATAAATAAATAAATAAATAAATAAATAAATAAATAAATAAATAAATAAGGATTTTTATTAATGACTTAGACGAAGGGTTAGAAGACATGAATATCAAGGATTGCAGATGACACCAAATTGGGAGGGATAGCCAATACTCCAGAAGACAGGAGCAGAATTCAAAATGATCCTAACAGATTAGAGAGATGAGCCAAAACTAACAAAATGAAGTTCAACAGGGACAAATACATGATACTCTACTTAGGCAGAAAAAATGAAGTGCAAAGATACAGAATGGGGGACACCTGGCTTGACAGCAGTACATGTAAATAAATATCTTGGAGTCCTTGTGGACAACAAGTTAAACGTGAGCCAACAATGTGATGCAGCAGCTAAAAAAGCCAACAGGATTTTGGTCTGCATAAATAGGAGTATAGTGTCTAGATCTAGAGAAGTCATGCTACCCCTCTATTCTACCTTGGTCAGACCATACTTGGAATCACACTGTGTCCAGTTCCAGGCACCGCAATTGAAGGGAGATGTTGGCAAGCTGGAATGTGTCCAGAGGAGGGCAATTAAAGTGATCAAGGGTTTGGAGAATAAGCTGGGCATGATTAGCCTGCAGAAGAGAAGGCTGAGAGGAGACATGATGGCCATGTATAAATATGCGAGGAGAAGTCATAGGGAGGAGGGAGCAAGCTTGTTTTCTGCTGCCCTGGAGACTAGGACGCGGAACAATGGCTTCAAGCGATAAGAAAGGAGATTCCATCTGAACATTAGGAAGAACCTCCTGACTGTGAGAGCTGTTCAGCAGTGGAACTCTCTGCCCTGTAGTGTGGTGGAGGCTCCTTTTTTGGAGGCTTTTCAACAGATGCTGGATGGCTATCTGTCGGGGGTGCTTTGCATGCAATTTTCCTGCTTCTTGGCAGGGGGTTGGACTGGATGGCCCTCAAAGTCTCTTCCAACTCTATGATTCTAGGAATAAATAGTTAGAACTGCCAGATTACAGAATGAATGAATGGCTTTATCAGGCTATTCCAACGTATTGATGTCTGTTAGGAGAAAAACAAAAACAAAAATATAATTTCATGGTATAATAAATATGTGGATCCAAATTAATTGGATTCAGAGGTATTCATGTTAACAGGTCTAGTGGAAACAGACTCCTTCCCAAGTTTGGTTTCCACAGATAGTTGTGTTAGGGAAGTTCAAGAAGGAAAAGGCATTTAAAAATGCAAAGCAGCCACAACAGCAACAGTTTTAGCAGTTCAGAAGCTTCTTGAGCATATATTAGTAGAGCAAGTGAGTTTCAGCAATTACACGATTCGAGTCAAGTTTTCCAAGTTCCAAACAACTTTTATCGAAAGAACTACATTTCCATATAGAAAAGTTAGGACCTAGCTATCTGACTATATAGTTTTCTGGAGACATCTTGTCTCTCCATGCTTACAGGAGAAGAACAAAGTGGAGACTCCAGGGACTGGAAACTTTGAATAAAAAGATATGTGTCCCTGAAAAGCATCAGTTTAACTAATATAAATATAAATAGGGGGAGAGAAAAGAGAGACAGGCAAACAAAGGGTATCTAACTCACCTGCCTATATTTTTCCTTGATGGGGACTATAAACTTATGCAAGATGTGGTTGAGTTGAAGTGTGCTGCTTAATGGGATGGGATTATATTACAATAACTAGAACATGATGAGGATTTCCTCTCTCTTCCTTAGCCCTGCCCTTCAAAACTGGTCCTGTTCAACAAAGTCCTTTCCCCATTCCGTTAGAAGTTTTTGACAGCTGCTGTGAGCCTTCTTTGGAGAGGACATTTGCTTCCATCATCACCATTGTCACTTGCCTAACTTTGAATAATTGAATCTCTTGCAAACATCACTTTGTATTCTATTAACGCTTATACTGTAGAAATAAAATAAAATGATGGCAGTGCTATAAAAATCTACTCAAACACAAATCAGAAGGAAAGCAGATATAATACTGTAGCATTTGACATTTGGAGGAGATAGCAATGGGAACAGTTGTGAAACTTGGAGGTAAATGAGGAAAAGATTTTAACATGTTTAATCTGAATCAACTCATCAATATTTAATTAATATGGTTTTCAAGCCTGTTAATTAAGAGTCTTTTTATTGAGCAAGAATTCATTGTAGTCTGGGATCAAGCAAGATAGTTCATCCTTTTGGTTTTAGCAGAGTATTTTGTTCCCATCACAAGCATGATATTCATGTTCTTGAAGCAGATATATTTTTTTAATCATCAGGTATGTATGCATCTTTGAGAAATGTTGCAATTCATCTAGGAGGGAAACCTCCAAGTTCACTCTTATAGCAATTTCCATCAGGGGAGTGGAATACTTTAATAATCTTGTAGTAATTTTTGTGTGTTTTCCTTGTTTAAAAATGTTCTGACTTCAACATTTATCATTACTTGACATCATATATGGTCAGTGCTTTTAAAACTGACAAGCTAAGAAATGTTTGTGGAGGTAATGTGTTTGGAAATACTTATGCAAGTTAGGAAATTATCATTTCTATCTGAACCTTATCCACCACTTCAACTTAGAGCAGGGCATTTAATTGGCAATTAATTCAATGCAATAAGATGTCAGAAATATTAAAAGATTGACTAAGTATTTTTTGTTACAAAAATGTGAGTCAAGCACTAAAAGGTTTAAATGGGTGCAGGGACTCAGAGAAGCTTTGTTCAGTATAAGCAGACGTGCCTGTTGTTTAGTTACCCCTCAGTCTGAGAGAGCTCTCAGTGTGAGAGAAGCCTCTCTGTGTGAGAGAATGCCTCAGTGGGAGAATAGGCCTCAGTGTGAGATAGGCCTCGTTATGAGAAGGCCTTGTGTGTGAATCTCCAGTGTGAAGTTTGAACTTTATTTGTGTTAAGGAAACCTTATTCTTGTAAATAGTTCAACCTTATTATTTTACTACAAAGGAAAGCCTCCTATGGAAAAGATAACATTGGTCGGTGTGCTTTTGTTCTTTTTATCATTTTGGGCTATTGATGCTGGGTTACACTGCTGCTAATAAGTTACTCTGCTGTGCATTTATGGGGATGGTCTTTTTTAATAAGCCCACTCGCCCAACATAAGACAACACTATGGTGTTCGTGCTCACATTTTTTTAAGCAATTCCAGTTAGCTTTCTGCGATTGTTTGTTCAAGAGTGTGTAAAAGTTTTAAATGTTGTACAATGTGCAGCTTCTACCACCATGTTTTCTTCATTTTCACCCTGGCCTTTAAATCCATGGAGACGTTTTGCTGGAGTCTTATTCCAGCAGTCGTTGTAATTGTTACAGACATCAGTTGCTACAAACATACACAGTATTCAATGCTATACTCTAATGTTGTGACACAGTCAAAACCTACATCATATAAGATGAAATCAAATTCAAGCCTACTGAATTGAATATTTCGATGTCACCAACTAAAGTGTGGCTAAGCTAAATTTATTAATAGCTCCTCTCCAATACTGGAGGAAAAAGTTGTTTTTGTTTAATTGCAACATATGATTTGGACATTCTGTTTTTTTTCCTTTCTAATTCTAGGAAAGGAGGAGCACCCTATCAAGCCAAACACAAAGTTGGCTATTTGTGACTGATTTCTCCCTACAGAAAGAGGCTGAGGTTGGTCCTGGGACTCCAAAAATTTTGCCCATCTCAGTTGCGTCAACTTGTGTGGTTGATGGGGAAGTCATGGAGGCACTCAAGAGCACATCTCCCTGTGTTGTATTCTTCAAGGATGCTGTATATGGGAATGGTAAGCACTAAGACTGAGTGAGACACTTTAGCTCTGGGGGATCAACACTCAGAAACCCCCAGTGATCAGGAGGAAGGGGAGTTGTACTCCAAAACATCTGAAAGACCAAAGATTCCTCAAAAATGCAATAGAATAAGTGGAAACAAACTTTGACATATCTTTGTAATATTTAATTTGAATGGCACATGCAAGTTGTCTACTTCAACTTAAACTGTTCTTCAATTGCCAATATTGCTTATCTTGCACTTTCTAAAGCAAATGCGGTATAGTTACAGGTTATCTTTTACAATGGGATCAGTGGACAAAAATACGAGCTTGCCTCTATTATATAGGTAGAACATTCTGTATTTGGAAATCCAAAATCTGAACTACTCTAAAATTATCTACATGGATGGCTAGGGGACAGGTTGACACCACTTTATCTGCCTTGGCTCAATGCGGTAGAATCAAAGTACTATTTGACTAGAATCAAATAGTACTGAGGCAGCAGTACTATTTGGCAAAAAAAGCTACAAAACTTGTAAAACTACAATTCCCAGGGTTACATAGCATTGAACCACGGTGGTTAAAGTAGTGTCAAATTGCATTAATTCTGCATACCCAGACTTTGTTTATGCACAATATTATTAAAATTATTGTAAAAATTACCTTCATACTATGTGTGTAAGATGTATATGCAACAGACATGATTTCATATTGACAGCTGGCTCCCATCTCCAAGATGTGTAATGTATGTATGTGTATGTATATAATATATATGTATGTGTTTGTGTGTGTGTGTGTGTGCTATAGATATTCTAAAATCTGGGGGGGAATCCAAAACACTTGTGGTCCCTCTCAAATTATAATGGCATGTTTTGGCAGTTTGCAAAGTTTGCCTAAAGATCACCGTAAGTCAGAAATGATTTCAAGGCAGAATAACAACAAAGATAATTTAGAAGCTCACTATTTGTGTATATACACATCCAATTATGTTTTAAAAGAAAGTTTTTTAAAAACTAATAGGGAAAAAGGTAGCCTATGTAGCCTTCTAAAAAGAAGTTGTTTGGGCTGTCTTTGAGTATTTTTCCCATCGTCCTCCCTTTTTTACAAATATGTGAATATAAACCTTCCATGCAATATTGTTTCTGTCAACTCAAGACATTTATATCTATGACCCGAAGACATTTCTCTATCATAGACAAAGTGTCACTAAAAATGGGGAGTTGTAAACTGTCATTTATTTATTTATTACCCCATGCTTCACTTCAAAAAAACTCTCAAAGAAAATGTGTTGTCAAAGGCATTCATGGCCGGAATCACTGGGTTGCTGTGAGTTTTCCGGGCTGTATGTCCATGTTCCAGTAGCATTCTCTCCTGACGTTTCACCTGCATCTATGGCAGGCATTCTTGCAACATCTCAGGATGCCTGCCATAAATATGGGCAAAACGTCAGGAGAGAATGCTTCTGGAACATGGACATACAGCCTGGAAAACTCACAGCAACCCAGTCTCAGAGAAAACTTCATAGCTCAAAAAACCAAGTATCCTATAAGTTGAAAGATTTGTGTCAAATATCGACCGCTACATGCAGGAGTATATATTGTAATACCTGCTTTGCAGTCGTAGAACTGAAACATACAGCACAGAAGGAAAAAAAGAAACAAGGAAGGAAAAAGGAAACCTATCACATCCTGACACCATTTCTTAGCATTATACAATTTTTACAGCACGTGATTCTACTAGAAACTAAAAGACGCTTATCCCTCAGTAAAGCTGACAGAGTGGTCTGATGGAATTTTAATTGCTTATTTAATTTAGTATTATATACACCAAGAGGTTGCTGAGTATATAATGATGTGTAATACCTACCTATCTGCAACATGGATTAGACACAAAACAGGATTTATGTGTTATATGCAAAACAGAACAGAATAATGCAATAGAAGATGTTTTCTTGGCAAGTTGTTTACATTCAGTGCAAGCCAAATAATATGTGCTAAGTTGCTAAAAAGGTGGGAATGTGAGAATGTCCATCCCTAAGGAAAAACCCTAAGGAAAAAAAACATTATTGCATGAGCAAGTCTCATATATTTGAACATCCTAAGAGTTTTATTTCTTGTCTACATTTGTTTTGTAGTTGCTGTTTCTTTTTCAAATTGCTTACATTGCCAGTGAGCATTATCATAGTTAAGAGCCTTTCTTATTAAATCTGAGCACAATCTGGCAGCATGCCTTTTATGTTTATATATGCGGCCCTTCTGCAACCGTCTAGAATTAAAATCAAGTGTTGTGCCTGCATGTGCTGGAAAGAATTGGAATTAGGCGCTAATCATGTTCAAGAGTAAGTTAATCACTGCCTGATAATGGCCTTTGGTCATTGTGAACCTTTTGTTGCATTTGAGCCACTGACCTACTTGTAAAAGTTTCCTGTCATGCTTCCAGACCCACTGAATCATCCACGTGATAACGCTGCTGGGCAAAGGTTTGGCTCCCCTACTTTGGGGAGCAAAGTGCAGCATGTCTAGCCTCAGGACGGCTTGGCAACAGCAATGACCAAAAGAAATATGTGGGGGGGGGGGGGGATAGGGAAGAATCATGTAAGGAAGCAAAAGCCTGGTAAATTTCCTCCCCTCTAAAAGATTTGACGCATCAGGATAGTTTAGGTTGGAAATTTCTTTCCTTAACAAGGGCACAGCATGTGTTTCACTTTGAAAGTTCAAGCAAACCAGACTAAATTGAGTTTGACGAAAGGCTGACTAGGAACGTTGTCTTTATTGGCTCAAGACAATTAACACGGTCACCTTTTTCCTTGTTACTGTAACTTATCAAAATGTCTTTCTTGGCAGGTAGGATTATTTGCATTGAACGTACCGTTCTCTTGTTACAAAAGCCCCTTTTGTGTAGGCCTGCTGATGCTGACATCACTAAACTGCCTGGTCCTGTCGAACTTGATGAGCTGGATTCTGCAACCCAAGCCAATTCCATTTGTACTGTAAGAGGTTAGTGCAAGCTCTCTCTCTTGTTCTTTTTTTTTTTTTTACCTAAAGCATATCTTGCCATGTTCTGTGCCTGCTGGAAACCTTTTTCTTTTCTTTTTTTTTAAATTCCCTTTCTTATAAGAAGCCCATAGGCAACAGTCAACTTGTATGTACCCAAAAGTCACCTGGCGATTTATGAACCTCATAGTGTCTTGTAGGCAAGGAATACTCAGAGGTGGTTTTGCCAGTTCCTTCTTCTGGAATGTAACCTATGGGACCCAACAATCCTGTGACAAAGGTTGGGTTGAAAATGCATGGGACGGGCCCATGATCATCCAGTGAACTTCAGAGCTGAGTGGGAACTTTAACCTGACTTCCCTTGGGCTCCATTTGATACTCTCTGCATGTTATTACGTTGGCTTTTTTCAAATACAAAACTGAATAATAAACAGCACAGAAAAAGTGTATGTTAGGAACAAGAGATTGCTGTTTTCTATTAGAATAGCTTGAACTATGCCCCTTCCTGGCTCTTATTTGGTGTTTACTGGCAAATAATGCTGAGTATGCTAAATATTACCACTTGCATTTATGTGGAGTTTAACCCAGCTTTATATATGTTTGTAGTATCTATATTAAATCAGTTTATAGACTTGTTTTGAAGATGCCAGTGCTTTCGGAAGTATTTTCTGCTATGCTGTTTCCAATTTCTTTTCATTTCACTTGCAACCTCTCTGCAAGTGCTAATTAGAACACCATCTGAACTATATACAAGCTGGCCCGCCCCTTTACCTATACCCTAACCAGGTTCATCTCTGAATTTGAGCCCAGGTTGTATATAGAGCCGGTTCGCCAAAAGCCATTTTAAGATGAACGTAGCATATGGTTACAAAAGCATAGTTCAGCTAACTTATTGCAAATAACTCAAATATTTTAAGGTATTCATCCACTGTAAATACAGGATTTTTTCTAATTGCATTTTCACATGTGCACCAGTTACTGTTTTTGGACTGTTGCCTGCACATGATCTTCCTTGGGTCCCTTGCTGAGGACTGTTGTCTTTTGTAATATGTTGAACTCTAAATATTCATCCACCATGTTCTTTGTGATACATTGGCAAACGTAGCAAAAGCATTGTTCCCATCTCCTTTTGGAAGGTTACTCATGAATGATGTATTTATACATATAGTTAACATTTGATCATACATAAACATTCATTCAAATAGAAGCCCCCGGTGACGCATTGGGTTACACCTTTGTGCCGCAGGACTGCTGACCGACAGGTTGGAGGTTTGAATCCGGGGAGAGTGCAGATGATCTCCCTTTGTCAGCTCCAGCTCCCCATGCGGGGACATGAGAGAAGCCTCCCACAAGGATGGTAAAACATCAATCATCCAGGCGCCACCTGGGCAATGTCCTTGCAGACGGCCAATTCTCTCATACCAGAAGCGACTTGAAGTTTCTCAAGTCGCTCCTGACACACACACAAAAACATTGATTCTAAACGGTCCCAATAGACAGAAGCATTGACCCTTTAAATTCAGATAATGATTAAGTAGGAGAGAAAATGTGACTCTCTTTTTCCATTTGGAAAAGCATGAAAGAAATAGCATACCCAGACAATGGGGCCTTAGACAAGTCATAACATCTCATAAGCCCACAGCATTATTGCAAAGATAAACTTAGCCAGCATGGCATGTGGTTTGGGTGTTGGATTGAAACAAGTACATTTGGTTAATGATATCTTGGCTTGATGAGGGATCTGAAGACTAGAGTTCAAACTTCTCCTTGGCCATGGAAACCTACTGGGTGACCTTGGCTTAATCACACACTCTCAATCTCAGAGGATGGCAGAGGCAAATCTCCTCTGAAGAAATCTTCCTGAAAACCCTGTAATAGGGTCACCTTAGGGTCACCATAAGTTGGAGATGACTGGAAGATACACTGCAATCACAAGTGGAGAGAATCATGTATATGCCATTTTGGATATTCTGGAGGAAATGTAATAAATCTACATGCTACCCTTAATCTCCTTGTTCCTTTTATTGTATTTTGGCCTTACGTGTGAAGTGAGTTGTTCTTTCACACGGTCATTATATCCGAAACCTCTGAAATTCAGTCCCAGAGAACACAATGTCTTAAGCAAGTTGCTCCCTTTCCCTTATTCTGCTATTATATGAAACCAATACTCCCGCACTGCTATCTGGCCAATACAGATGGACTTTGCCAGTCTTAGTTCTCCATCTTTTAGTTTATCAAAGGATTGAGTGACTCTTGGTCAACACAGCAGGGATTATCAGGTGATGGGCTCCTGACACATATACTGTAGGCTTGCCAATGGTATTCCATTTACTTGCAGGTGGCCAAGATTACCCATTTGTATGCTTGACTTCCAAACAGTGCTACATCTTCAGTATTTATTGCTTTGCTAAACAAATTATCCATTGTCCTAAATCTTTTTACTAGCCTTCCCATAAAATTCCCAACATACTTGATTTCTAATAGTTAGCAACAGTGTTTACTAGTGATCCAAATATCTGTTTGGCCTTCAGTCCCCTAAAGCCTTCGAGTTGCGTGTCAGGGTTTGGAGGCTGTTATTTTCATTTTGGCAGATTTGACTCTCAGTTACAGAGATATAAGGGACAACTCATTGCTGTTAGATCTGTGTAAATGTTTTAAGAAAATGGTCTTGTCCTCTTTCACCCTGGTGTTTTTGGGTATCAGATTGAAACAACAATTACATTTGCATATGATATCTTGGCTTGATAAGATAAAATATAGATGAGGCATAAAGAATGCATGTAGCCCATGCTAGTGAGTGAACAGGCTTGAAAGCCTTCCATTAATTATAGTTTCTAGTTTCATTCAAACCAGGAAACTATAGGCAATCACTTTGAAACACATCATTTCATTAAGCTTATGTTTTAATTTGACTTATGATCCTGGCTTGATCCACAGCTGTTTATTTACTACCCTGGCTTGTCCCAAAGCTATGAATTTTAGTTTTCCAATTGGGAAAATAGGGAACTTATTGTTGCTGATTTGTGTGCTCTTGAATGGAGGGATAAGGGAAGGAACGTTGATCAGAGGGCGATGCCCCGCCATTGTCTCAGAAGCCCTCAAGGGTTGAAAGGCAATAAACAGTAAAAAAAAAATGTTCATATTGCAGCTTCTTATATTAAGATACAATTGTATAAATGTGTCTAGTTTGACTAAAATATTTACTGTGTTGTTTTGAAAGGAAAGGAAAAAGCCACTGGTTGCAAAAACAAATCAGAGTTGTGTTGTGAGTTTTCCAGGCTGTATGGCCATGTTCCAGAAGCATTTTCTCCTAACATTTCACTCACATCTATTATCAAGCAAAAAGTGGGTGCTAGAAACAATATCATACGAAAGCTGACTGGCACAACCTGGGGACCACAACCAGGTGCAATGAAGACATTTGCCCTTGCGCTTTGCTACTCTGCTGCTGAATATGCATGCCCAGTGTGGAACACATCTCACCATGCTAAAACAGTGGATGTGGCTCTTAATGAGACATTTCACATTATCATAGGCTGTCTGCACCCTACACCACTGGAGAAATTACACTGCTTACTCGGTATTGCACCATCTGGCATCTGCTGGGAAGTAGCAGTTAATAATGAAAGGACCAAGGCAGTGAAATCTCCAGCCCATCTCCTATTCGGATATCAGCCAGCACACCAATGACTTAACTCAAGAAATAGTTTTCTAAGATCTACAGAGACACACGCAGGAACACCTCAGCAAGCAAGAGTCCAAAAGTGGCAGGCTAAAACTTGGAATTTCAATTGAATGCTAATACCAAATGAGAGACTCCCTCCTGGGCACACAGAAAACTGGGAGACTTAGAAGGCACTGAACAGACTGCACTCTGGCCTCACGAGATGCAGAGCCAACCTTAAGAAATGGGGACAAAAAGGGGAGTCTACGACATGCGAGTGTGGAGAAGAGCAAACCACAGACCACCTATTACAATGCAGTCTGAGCCTTGCCACATGCACAATGGAGGATCTCCTTATAGCAACACCAGAGGCACTCCAAGTGGCCAGCTACTGATCAAAGGACATTTAATAGAGTGCCAAATTTTCAAACTTTGATGCTTTTTTGTTTGTTTCTTTTTAAAATACATTACAACTGAACCCTTGGTTGGCTCCTGGTATGATAAATAAATAACCCACATCTATGGCAGGCATCCTCAGAGGTTGTGAGGTCAAACCTCACAACCTCTGAGGATGCCTGCCATAGATGTGGGTGAAACATCACAAAAAATGCTTCTGGAACATGGCCCTACAGCCCGGAAAACTCACAGCAACCAAGTGATTCTGGCCATGAAAGCCTTTGACAACACAAATCAAAGTTGTTTTCACATAGTTCTGAATTTAACAGAAGGTGTTGCATTTATGACCATACCTGAGGTTGTTCTTAAAAACAAGAGTTTGGGGTTCCCCCCCCCCCCCCGGGGAAGAAAGAATGATAATATAGCAAGACAAATGGCACAAATGTCAAAGGTAGTCATAGTCAATATGTATTTATTTACAATTTCCCTTTTTCTTCAGGCATTATTGTAGGAGTTAATGAAAAAACAGCTTTCTCCTGGCCTACATGTAACAGATGTGGAAACGGGAAAGTAGAGCAGCGTCCACAAGACAGGTAAGGACGTGTCAGCCAGAAGGGAGATAAGGACTATCCTTGAAGGCACTGTACATTTGGAATCTCGGAAATCTTTTGATGAGTTCTTCACCCAAAGGCCATACTTAAATCTAGCAGTTTTGCAATAAGAGGGCAAGATCCCTCAGCGTAAACCTCAGTGATGCACAGCTCATGGACCTACCTCGTTTTGATCAAGATGTTGCAGTAACCTTGCTTTTAGTTTCATGCAGAAGAAAAGAAAATGTTCTCTAACGTGAGAGAAAGAGACGTTGTATCGTTTGAGTTTTCACCACCTTCAGCCAAAGTCTTTTGTTTGTTTTGTATGAAGAGCAGGATAAAAATACCGAATATAAAGAAATGAACCCATCACTAAGTTTCCGAAGTGCATGATTGCTAGTCAACAGAAATACAACAGGAGATCAATAGGACTTTGTTAGTGGCTGATAGTAGGGTACTTTCCACATCTAGAGATTGTGCAGTACTCCAGTTATTCCTGAAGCTTGGTATGGTTTGGTTTGGTTTGGTTTGGTTTGGTTTGGTTTGGTTTGGTTTTAAAGCCTAGTTGACAGAGCAGTGCTTTTTACAAAAAGGCTGAAAAATATCCTGAAAACCTGTACATTTTACATTACAGTTGTATTCTTGCCCAACATTATTAGCACTGGGTGTTTGGAGTTCCATCTTTCCCTCCTTATTTGCAATTCCATTCTAGTTCTCTAAAGGAATATCCTATGCTATGGGAAGTAAACATGGAGAGCTGTTCAGCAGTGGAACTCTCTTCCTCAGACTGTGGTGAAGGCTCCTCCTTTGGAGGCGTTTAAGCAGAGGCTGGATGGCCATCTATCAGGGGTTCTTTGAATGCAATTTTCCTGCTTCTTGGCAGGGGTTGGACTGGATGACCCATGAGGTCTCTTCCAACTCTATGATTCAATGAATTCTATGAGCCCCTGGTGGTGCAGCAGGTTAAACCGCTGAGCTGCTGAACTTGCTGACCCAAAGATTAGTGGTTCCAATCCAGGAGCAGGGTGAGCACCCGCTGTTAGCCCCAGCTTCTGTCAACCTAGCAATTTGAAAATATGCAAATGTGACTGCATCAATAGGTTCCACTCTGGCAGGAAGGTAACGGAACTCCATGCAGTCATTCTGGCCACATGACCTTGGAGGTGTCTACAGACAACAACTGCTCTTCAGCTTAGAAATGGAGATGAGCACCACCCCCCAGAGTCAGGCATGACTAGACTGAACATCAAGGGGAAAACTTTATCATTCTATAAAATATGAATATTCTTACAGGTAACAATGAAAGTTTACATCAAGAAGGCTTGTACTACCAGTATATTGTGGACACAATCAAACAGTGAAATGAGTAAGGAACAATCTAATGAAGGATGTATAATGTGTACCTCTTTTGATGCATTTCAGAGGACTGCTTTACTGCAATCAATGTTGTGAAGCCATCATTTCACCAGTTGTCAAAATGCACCTGGAAGTCTTTGTGCAGTGCCCATCCCGACCATTATGCACCGTAAAAATCAAGGTATGAAAATAAAATAATTCAAGTTACAAAAAGTGTTGGACCATGTTGAGACTCTTGTGTGATAGCTGAAGATTTTATATTAAAGAATTTCATTGGATTTTGATATTCTGAACAGGCCTCTGTATCTTTTCATGATAAGAGTATTGTCTTTTGATTTATATGTTCATATACCTTGCTATATTTTGTGTGTTTTGCACTATTGGGTGCTTTTTGTGAGCTGCCCAAGTCCCTTCGGAGAGATGGCGGCAAGGTACAAATAAAGTTTAATTTATTTTTTATTATTTTGTGCTAAGTTCTCATTGATGAATTATGGATCAGCTATCACCATTGAGATCAAGTCTACCTAAACCTGCTTTAGGTTGTTATAAAGAACTGGATTGGTCTGTGGATTGATCACTCATAGAATCTGGACTGTGTGAGCATCAAGATCAAAGAGCCAAAGTCTTTGCTAGAAGCTCAAGAAACCTTCTTTAAAATATACCATACATTCCCTATTTTTATTTCATAACATGTAGATCAAGTGTGGCATCAATTGGGCTGTCTGCAGTTCATGGCTGTTTTTTATGACTTCAGAGTGTAAATTTGGTGGAATAGCATTACATACCACATACCTGAGGCTCCGGTGGAGCAGTGGGTTAAACCGCAGAGCTGCTGAACTTGCTGACCGAAAGGGCGATAGTTCGAATCCGGGGAGTGGGGTGAGCTCACACGATTAGGCCCAGCTTCTGCCAACCTAGCAGTTCGAAAACATGCAAGTGTGAGTAGATCAATAGGTATTGCTTCTGCAGGAATGTAACAGCACCCCATGCAGTCATGCTGGACACATGACCTTGGAGGTGTCTACCGCCAACGCTGTTCGGCTTAGAAATTGAGATGAGCACCACCCCCAGAGTCAGACTCGACTAGACTTAATGTCAAGGGGAAACCTTTACCTTACCACATCCCTTCTTTTGATGAGAAAGTGTGGATCAGAGACACTAATAGTGGCTCAATGCACATACACAGCTACTAATGTTATTTGATGGAATCTTAAGACTAGTATAATTGATATTGGTCACTAGTCATATTTGGGGTGCTGATTCAGAAAAATTGCACTGGATAGACCACATCAGCTCTAGTTTCTGATACAGAACATATGCCATCCAGGAGTCTCCATCTGTTCACCCACAGAAAACCATATTTAATAAGGCTTGGCATTAGAAGAGTATTTTGCGAGCCAGTCACTCTCATTGCAATTATGTAGTAACAGTGAGGTTGTGGACCATATTTTAGTTCTTGTGGGCCACTGGTGGTCCATGGAACAACAGGTTAGGAACCACTGCCTTAAAGATTATGGGCAGTTTGCAAGTTATTTTTATCTTGTTTTATCCTTATAGCAGCCCTACTAAGATAAAAATCAACAGGTGGCCTAGGAAGAAGCTGCTAAATTTCATGATAATAGTAAAACCATGCCTCAAATTCATATCCTGCCCATTATTCCCAGTCCACTGCAAAGAGAACTGTCTGTCTCTCTCAAATAGTATTTCCACAGTAATTTTAAAAGATGTTAACAGTGGCATATATTCACTTGGAAGGGTTCCCTGGAATCATGAGGATCTGAATATGTTTTCTACATGGAGTTGATTTGACTTAAAACTTCCTTATAGCCACTTCTTTTCAGGCCACAAATCTATTCTGTACGTTCCTTTCAATCCCGCTTTTGGAGAAAAGGCAGGTTGCAAATAAAAGTTTAATGCCAAAGGAGAGTACAGATTGTAATAGGGTTAGGTTTTATTTATTTTTTTCTCTCAAATAAGGCTTTTAATGCAAGTAGAGAATGCAAAAATGTGATTCTTTTATTATTTCCTGTGTTGTATCAGCTGCTACAAAAGACCATTTCTTCACTTCTGGACTCCTCTCCTACTGAGGATGGTGTAAGTTCACTTTAAAATATATTTATTATAGAAACCAAAGCACCGTAATTTGAGATGCATGGAGATTAGGCTCAGAAGGGAGTCAAATATTAACCTTGACAACAGATAAGTGGTTTTGCTGATGTTTCAGTGAACTTTACTAAACTGTCCTGTTACAAGTCATAAGTACTAAGTGATTGATTATTTCCTCCCCAAAGATACTATATCCCTGTAATATTCTCTAGAGGAAAAATTGGATTTTTCACTTAAGTCAGGCATGGGCAAACTTTGGCTCTTCAGATGTTTTGGACTTCAATTCCCACAGCTTGTAGGCTGTTAGGAATTGTGGGAATTGAAGTCAAAACACCTGGAGGGCCAAAGTTTGCCCATGCCTGAACTTAAGTGAAAGCTATCCTATTAATTCCCATAATGGGACTTCATGTCATTGCAGTATTGAATAGGATCTTGACCTGTATTTCTAGCTAATTGTAGACATATGTACTTAGGAGCAAGTCCTATTGCAATCTGTAGAACTTACTTTTAAATAGACCAGCACGTTCTACCAGTTTATTTATTTATTTATTTATCATGTCAGAAGTTAATTGAGGGTACAGTTGTAATGTATTTAAAAACATAAAGAAAGTTAAAAACAATGTCCTTTGACCAGTAGCTGGCCACTTGGAGTGCCTCTGGTGTCGCTGTGAGAAGGTCCTCCATTGTGCATATGGCAGGGCTCAGGCTGCATTGTAATAGGTGACCTGTGGTTTGCTCTTCTCCACACTCGCATGTTGTGGACTCTACTTTGTAGCCCCATTTCTTAAGATTGGCTCTCTATCTCGTGGTGTCAGAGCACAGTCTGTTCAGCGCCTTCCAAGTCGCCCAGTCTTCTGTGTGCCCAGGAGGGAGTCTCTCATTTGGTGTCAGCCATATGTTGAGGTTCTGGGTTTTAGCCTGCCACTTTTGGACTCTTGCTTGCTGAGGCGTTCCTGCAAGTATCTCTGTAGATCTTAGAAAGCTTTTTTTTTTTTAATTTAAGGCGTTGTTGTGCTGGCTGATGCCCAGATAGTCCAGAGATGTCATTGCCTTAGTCCTTTCTTTATTGGCTGCTAATTCCTGGCAGATATCAGGTGGTGCAATACCGGCTAAACCATATAATTTCTGTAGTGGTGTAGGGCATAGACATCCTGTGAAAATATGGCTCGTCTCATTAAAAGCCACATCCACTGTTTTAACATGGTGAGACGTGTTCTGCACTTGGACATGCATATTCAGCAGCAGAGTAGCAAAAAATGATATCGCCATGAATATGGACCTTATGCCTTTTAACAGCTGCTGGCCGTCAATCTTTATATGTATATGCCACTGGTAGTAGAACTGTATTTTGCAGCACACCAAAATACCTGGGAGGGTAAAAGTGTTCAAAATAAATAAAGCGCAAGGGCAGATGTCTTCACTGTGTCTGGTTGTGATCCCCATGTTGTGCCAGTCAGCTTTTGTATGATATTGTTTCTCGCACCCACTTTTTGCTTGATATTCAAGCAGTGCTTCTTGTAAATCAGAGTATGGTCCAGGTATTTTGATGTGCTGCAAAATACAGTTCTACCAGTGGCACATACATATAAGGGCTGATGGCCAGCGGCTGTTGAAAGGCATAAGGTCCATGTTCATGGTGATATCCTTTTTGAGCAGTACAAAAGGAGAAGGGGGGAAATTCCCTAAAATGTTTTACTTGAAGAGCACCTTCAAGTAAGTATTTTTCAACTTTATTCTGGCTGGGACAAAATGTTCAGAGTCGTTTGCTTTAATGAATGTGTTTTATCATTACAGAGTTATGAAGTGAAGAATGTGCTGGGAAAGGAGGTGGGGTTTTTATACTGTTTCGTCCAGTCTGTGACCAACCACCCATCTAGCTGTGTTGGAGTGGAAGAAATCATTCTCCCAGATGTGGGAGGAAAAGAAAAGAAATAGCGTCTGCTATTCTATGAACTTTGTAATATAGTTGTGAACTACGTTTGTAGATAATGTAGAATACAGGCATATAAGTACTTGGAAGCAATAAATAACTTTCAGTCATCTGTCAAAATACCTTTTTAATGTTCATGCTGAGCGTCTGTAAAACAATATTAAGCTTGTTCTGTTCTCATTGACTTTAGTGAAATACTTGTATTTAAATCTCTTACATTGGAATCAATGGAACTTTTTCAGTTTGCCATAGTTTGTATTTTTATAGTTTATTGTCATCTAAAAAAATTCAGAGCATTAAAATAAAAAGTTCCAACAATACTTTTAGAAAGAGAATATGGAAATGTTTTAAATGAAACTTCTTCTTGATCTGGAAGTTGATCTTACAGCGTTTCAAAGGCTGAAATGTGTTTTTTTTCCCCCTATGTAGGTATCAAAACAGTTTGTATAAATTATGAATCCCAATATAATATAAAGTGTATATAGTATGACTTGGATTAATGTTGATATATTTATTTTACAAATTTCAAATAAAGATTATTACAGATTGTTAAAAGAGTTTTATTTTCTGCTGATTTTTTTTTTTTTTGGTTGCATCAGGAGCGACCTGAGAAACTGCAAGTCGTTTCTGGTGTGAGAGAATTGGCCATCTGCAAAGACGTTGCCCAGGGGACGCCAGGATGTTTTGATGTTTTATCATCCTTGTGGGAGGCTTCTCTCGTGTCCCCGCATGGGGAGCTGGAAGGGTGTCAAGGGCATGTGTACGAAGTTAACCATTATCTACATATAGAAGGATTTGATAATTGTATCTAAATAAGCAATCTTCCCATAAAGTTTCTATTGTATCGCATGGCATAACTAAAAATTTAAAGAGTACAACTACTTCACAACTACTTTGGAATGCTAACTGGATCTTCATAGGTTGCTTTGAGTTTTCCGAGCTGTATGGCAATGTTCCAGAAAACTCACAGCAACCTAGTGATTCCTGCTATGAAAGACTTTGACAACACATGGATCTTCATACTTCCTTGCTATCTATAGATTTAGGAATTGTAAAGCTTTAAATCTGTACGCTACACAAAGCAATATACCACAGTATGAGAAATTAATAGTCTTTTTTCTTTTCATGTCACGAGCAACTTGAGAAACTGCAAATCACTTCTGGTGTAAGAGAATTGGCTGTCTGCAAGGACAATGCCCAGGGACACCTGGCTCCTTTACCATCCTGTGGAAGGCTTCTCTCATGTCCCCACATGAGCAGCTGGAGCTGACAGACGGGAACTCACCCTGCTCCCCAGATTTGAACCTGCCAGCACACGAGTTTAACTCATTGTGTTACCAGGGGCTCCTGAAATGAATAGTGAAACAGTGGAAAAGTTGGTCTCATTACAACTGTGATCTGAAGTCCTGTATTTGTAGACTTTTCTTGGATTTAGAGTGTAAAGGAGACCTATGTTCCTGTGGTTTACATCTAGCATTTCTCTACTCAACCACTGAATCCTGGCTTCTGTTACTAACTTAATTCTCTCTGTCTCTAAGGTGCTTGGCATCCTTGATTTCACTGTGTGTACATTTAGCTCAGGGCTGGGAATAGGCTGTTTATAACCGCCATCTAGTTGACTTTGACTTACAGTGACCCTGTGAATGAGAGCCTGCTTCAGGGCCATGGCTTACTTCATTTGAGTCTATCCACATGGAACACAGTATTCTCCTTTTCCTACTGCCTTATACATTACTATCTTTTGTAGAGGACTATATAGTCCTCCACATTTAGTTGGACTCTAGTTCGCCTTATCTTTTAATATTATTAGCCATGCTACTTTTGACTTATGCTCAACAACATCTTTGATGATTATAGGCAACTGGTGCATCATCGCTTATTTGGATTTGAGCCCAATATTGTCAACTCTGACTGGCAGCAGCTCTCCAGGGTTTCAGACAGGAGTGATTTCCTTGATCCAGCTCATGTTTTTTAATGTGAAATATAATAAAACTTCGAGATAATTGTCTTGAAATCTCAAAACATTGCATTTATCTTCTTGACCTGCTGTGAGTTTTCCTAGCTGTATGGTCATGCTCCAGAAGCATTCCCTCCTGACGTTTTGCCCACATCTATGGCAGGCATCCTCAGATATTGTACAGTCTGTTGGAAACTAGGCAAGTGGAGTTTATATATCTGTGGAATGTCCAGGGTGGGAAAAAGAACTCTTGTCTGTTTGAGGTAGGTGTGAATGTTGCAGTTGGCCAGCTTGATTAGCATTGAATAGCCTTGCAGCTTCAAATCCTGTCTGCTTCCTGTCTGGGGGAATCCTTTATTGGGAGATATTAGCTGGTCATAATTGTTTCTTGTCTGGAATTCCTCTGTTTTTGGGGTGTTGTTCTTCATTTACTGTCCTGATTTTAGAGTTTTTAAATCCTGATAGCCAGATTTTGTTCATTTGCATGGTTTCCTCCTTTCTGTTGACATTGTCTACATGTTTGTGGATTTCAACGGCTTCTCTGTGTAGTCTGACATGGTGGTTGTTAGAGTGGTCCAGTATTTCTGTGTTCTCAAATAATATGTTGTGTTAATTTATCTTCTTGTTTGTTACCTCAATAGACTGAAAGGAACAGGTTCTACAAACCTCTGCTGTATCCAAATTGATGCTACTAGTGGTATTTTCTGTTTATGCATGCATTAGAAAGCTTTGACCATAGTGACAATCTTACACACCATAACATGTAAGTGCAAGACTGTGACCATGGGAATGCTAAAATCACTCCCAAATATGTCTGTGTGTGCAAATTCTCTTAAACACAAGGAAGAACCCAATCACATTGTTCTACAGCAAAAAAGATTCAGAACACACTTCAGCCTTCCCACTGTTTGTGTCAAGATATAAAAGTTGTTTAGTGTTTTCAAAGCAAGTCATGGTAATGTATACCCCACAGAAGTCCTATCAACACCACCTGAATAGACTCAGAAGTGGAGTGGGCTGATCGAAAGACAACCTGGCAAAATGGCACTACCTAAGAGGAATCCTCTACCTTGTGTTACTGTGGAGCAGAACAGACAACTCCGCATCTGTATGCCTGCCCACAATGCCCTGCCTCATGCACAGAGGAAGAACTGTCTAAGACTACAGACAATTTGGTCACTGTCGCCCATTTTTGTTCTATTATTTTTAGCCGCTTGTGTTCCTTCTATTTTATCAGTTTTATACTAATTTATTTGTGCAATGCTTTTGACATGAAATAAAGTGGTTCCCACCCTTTGGTCCTTCAGTGTTTTGGACTTCCAACTCCCAGAAATCCCAGCCATCTTCCCAACTGTTAGGAAATGTGGGAGCTGAAGTCCAAAACACTTGGGTGAATAAATGTTGGGAACAGCTGATATACATGACAATCACAGCTCAGAGCTTTCTCTGAGGCCTATTAAATTCATGTCCAGGCCGGCTTAAGTGGCTGAGGGGGGAAAGGAAGGGGCCTGAGGCTGTTAGGAATGGTGGGAGTTGAAGTCCAAAACACCCGGAGGGCCCAAGTTGGTCCATGCCTGCTATATACTAAACTGTTCAGTGAATGCCCATATTGTTGCAACAAATACATAGTCCAAGTACATTTCAAAGGTTTTTTATTTTATTTTTAGAAATGCTGTAAAAACATATATATATAAAACGAAAATCATTTCGGGGGAGAAGGAGGGGACGTATTTTACAAAGTACCTTAGCTGCAGCAATATGAGATGTAGAAAACAACAAGTATCATTACAAAAATAATTTAGGAAGGAAAGAGAAGTCTAGCTTTTTTTTCACCCTTTTTGGCAAGTTTTGTGGTTTCCAAGACCCAAGCTCAGCCCGTTCCAAAAGAGGCAACCCCCCCCACCCCCAAAAAAAACAGAAAGGCATGTGACCAGGTGAGAAGTTTTTGCCCTCTTTGGAAAGACACAGGAAAGAGAGATGACAATCTATTGGCACACCTTTAGCACAGACTCCCCTTTATGTGCCATAGTATGTGCAGCTTTTTGAGTCTCCCAGGGAAAAGTTTTGCCCTCTTTGGAAAGACACAGGAGAGAGAGAGACAAGAATCTATTGGCACACCTTTGGCACAGACTCCCCTTTATGTGCCATACTACATGTGATACTTTGGGTCTCCCAGGGAGAAGTTTTTGCCCTCTTTGGAGGAGAAAGGGGAGGCAAAGACATTGGGAGTCTGTGGGAACACTTTTAGTACAACCTTCCTCCAAGAAGGACAAAAATGAGCATGTGTGTGCCAACACTGGTTTTTGCAAAACTCTCATGTTTCTGCTTTTCTAATGAGATGTTTCTGCCCTCCTTGGAGAGAGAAAAAGGCCCACCAAAGAGAAGTAGGGTCTGTTGGCACACTTTGGGCACTGTCTGCCTCCCTCCACTCCCAATGGACAAAAACAGAAAGGCACATGTGAGCCAACACCAGCTTGGTTTCTCAGTGACATGTTTCTACCCTCCTTGGAGAGGAAAAAAGGCACATACAAGAGAGGGAGGCTCTGCTGGCACAGTTTTGGCGAGCCTTCCCCATGCTGACCCCAGTCCCCCTTCCCATCCCAGTTTGTGGCCTCCCAATCTAAGTTATTGTCCTCTTTGGAGAAGAAAGAAGGCACCAAGAGGAGAGTCTGTGGGTGAAGCTTTGGCCTTCCAGTCTGTGACGTTTTTGCCCTCTTTGGAGAGGAAATAAGGCACAATGAGGAGAGTCTGTGGGCACAGCTTTGGCCTTCCAGTCTGAAGTTGTCCTCTTCAGAGAGGAAAGAAGGCACCAAGAGAAGAGAGTCTGTAGGACACAGCATTGGCCTCTCAGTCTGTAGTATTTTTCCCTCTTTAGAGAGGAAAGAAGGCTGCTGAGGCAAAGAGAGTCTGTTGGCATGCCTTTGGCCTCCCAGTTGGTGATGTTTTTGCCCTCTTCAGAGAGGAAAGGTGGCAGAGGAGGCAAAGGGAGTCTGTGGGCACAGCATTGGCCTCCCCAGTCTGTGATGTTTTTGCCTTCTCTGAAGAGGAAAGAAGGCACCAAGAGAAGGAGGGTCTGTGGGCACAACTTTGGCCTTCCTGTCTGTGATGTTTTTGCCCTCTTTGGTGAGGAAAGAAGGCACCAAGAGGAGAGTTTGTGGGCACAGTTTGGCCTCCCAGTCTGTGATGTTTTTGCCTTCATCGAAGAGGAAGGAAGGCACCAAGAGGAGGAGAGTCCGTGGGCACAGCTTTCGGCCTCCCAGTCTGTGGCGTTTTTGCCCTCTTTGGAGAGGAAAGAAGGCTGGGGAGGCAAAGGGAGTCTGTGGGCGCAGCTTTGGCAGAGTCTTCTGGGGGTGAGGCAGGCTTCTCTCCTCCAGGCCATTCCCTTCCAGCCCCAACAGTGTTTGCGAGAGGAGGCCTTTGCCCCCCTGGGAGAGTCCCTCGACCCACGCCTCCCCCCCCGACAAGGGCGCAGCCTGTGCGCCAAGTCTTTTTCTGAGGTATTCTTTTGCGGAGGGAGCCCCCGAGAGTCCAAGCAAGGGGGGAAAGAGAGGGGGGGGCTGTGGCGTTACCGGCAGTCCTTGGCGCTGCTGTTGCTGTTGCTGGGGGTGGCGGCGTGGCTGTGGAGGAAGGACCCGGAGGGCATCTGCTTGAAGTAGTGCCGGACTTGGCTGAGGTCGCGGCTGAGCTGCTCGACGCGCTTGTGGAGCCGCTCGTTCTCGGCGGTGAGCTCGAGCAGCTTCTGCTGCATCTCCTGGTTGCGGCGCTTGGCCTTGTCGCGGCTCTTCCGCACGGCGATGTTGTTGCGCTCCCGGCGCTGGCGGTACTCGGGGCTGAAGCGGTCCACGCACTTCTTCCCGGCCCGCTCCTTCCCGAGCCCCGGAGACGACGACGAGGACGACGACGAGGAGGAGCGGGTGCTGTAGCTGGAGGGCGAGGCGCTGCCCGGGGCGGGCTCCGGGGAAGTGGGCGGCGTGGGCTGCCCGCTGAGGCTGACCACCGTCTGGGCGCAGGCGGCGATCTGCGAGGGAAGGAGCGACTCGGAGGGCAGCTCGCCCCAGTCGGGCTCCTGCTTGACGGCGCCGCGGAGGGGCCCCGGGGGCACGCTGGCCTGGAGGAGGAGCCCCGCGCCCGGACCCGGAGGAGGAGGAGGAAGGGTCGGGGGCGGAGGAGGAAGGTACTCCCCGGGGACGCCCTTCCCGTGCGGGTGGTGGTTGCTGTTGAAGAGGTCGGCGAAGAGCTCGTCGTGGCACAGCTCCAGCGTGGGCACGGCCGCCGCCATGGAGTCGATGTAGGAGCTGAAGTCGATGGCGCTCTCGTCCTCGTACATGGCCGGCGCCGCCGCGCTCAGCTCCGCCAAGTCCCGGCGCTGGTGCTGGTGGTGCGTGGGCTGCTCCTCGTCTTCGTCGTCCTCCACGGCGCTCACGCCGCCGCCCGAGGCCTTGCACGAAGGACCCAGCGGAAGCCCCTCGCCCGCCTTGGCCTCGTAGAAGTTGCCCGGCTCCAGCGGCCAGTGGCGGAAGCACGAGAGGGAGTCCAAGCCGTCCAGGGCAGCGGCGGCAGCCACGGCGCTCATCGGGGAAGCAGGAAAGGGGGCCTCCTTCCCAAGTCTCCTTCTTGCAAGGCTCGCCTGGCTTCTCTCTCTGCCTCAGTTCAAACTCCCGCCTCTTTCTCTCTCTCTCTCTCTCTCTTTCTCTGCCCAGACTTCTCCAGCTGCCTCAGTGCAAACGTCGACGACGCCTCTCTCTCCTCTCTCTCCTCTCTCTCCGCTCTCCTTGTGCCCTCTCCCACGTGCGCGCTCTGAAGGCACAACCTGGCCTCCTCGCGCCTCCTCCGCCTTTTATCCCCAACCCCCGTGGCCACGCCTCTTTGGGGAAAAAGGAGGGGCCCAGGAGACGCCGGGGAACGGGATTGGCCAGCGCGGGCCGGCCCAGATCTGCCCCTCCGACCCTCCCCTTGGCTCCCGAGCAGGGAGAGTCCCGCTTCCGAGGTGGCTTTCCCCGACCTAGCCAAAGGGTCCCCAAGGAGGAAGGCACCACTGGGAGAAAGCGCCTCTCACAAGCACACACACACACACACATTCATTACACGCCTGGGTTGCCTGGGTTTTGTACAGACCAGAGAACTCCCCACTTGCAAGGGTTCTCAACTGTTCTAATGCGACCCTTTAATACAGTTCCTCATGTTGTGGTGACTCCCCCCAACCATCACATTATTTTCGTTGCTACTTCACAACTGTAGTTTTGCTACTCATAGAATCATAGAATCAAAGAGTTGGAAGAGACCTCATGGGCCATCCAGTCCAACCCCCTGCCAAGAAGCAGGAATATTGCATTCAAAGCACCCCTGACAGATGGCCATCCAGCCTCTGCTTAAAAGCTTCCAAAGAAGGAGCCTCCACCACGCTCCAGGGCAGAGAGTTCCACTGCTGAACGGCTCTCACAGTCAGGAAGTTCTTCCTCATGTTCAGATGGAATCTCCTTCTTGTAGTTTGAAGCCATTGTTCCACGTCCTAGTCTCCAAGGAAGCAGAAAACAAGCTTGCTCCCTCCTCCCTGTGGCTTTCTCTTACATATTTATACATATAACCCACCCATCCACGTCCCTCTCGATTTCCCACTTTCCAGTATGTTTCTCTCTTTCGCCCTCCATTCGTGCCTCTTCAAATTCTGCAGCACTGCTGGTCACAGCTGATAGAATCATAGAATCATAGAATCAAAGAGTTGGAAGAGACCTCAATGGGCCATCCAGTCCAACCCCCTGCCAAGAAGCAGGAATATTGCATTCAAAGCACCCCTGACAGATGGCCATCCAGCCTCTGTTTAAAAGCTTCCAAAGAAGGAGCCTTCACCACACTCCGGGGCAGAGAGTTCCACTGCTGAACGGCTCTCACAGTCAGGAAGTTCTTCCTCATGTTCAGATGGAATCTCCTTTCTTGTAGTTTGAAGCCATTGTTCCGCGTCCTAGTCTCCAGGGAAGCAGAAAACAAGCTTGCTCCCTCCTCCCTGTGGCTTCCTCTCACATATTTATACATGGCTATCATGCCTCCTCTCAGCCTTCTCTTCTTCAGGCTAAACATGCCCAGCTCTTTAAGCCGCTCTTCATAGGGCTTGTTCTCCAGACCCTTGATCATTTTAGCTGCCCTCCTCTGGACACATTACAGCCTGTCAATATCTCTCTTGAATTGTGGTGCCCAGAATTGGACACAGTATTCCAGGTGTGGTCTAACCAAGGCAGAATAGAGGGGTAGCATTACTTCCCCTGAATTGTAATCTTCTGCCAACCTAGCAGTTCGAAAACATGCAAATGTGATAAGATCAATAGGTACTACTCTGACGGGAAGATAAGGGTGCTCCATGTAGTCATGCCGACCACATGACCTTGGAGGTGTCTATGGACAACGCCAGCTCTTCCGTTTGTTTGTTTGTTTGTTTACAGCATTTTTACCCCACCCTTCTCAGCCCTGAGGGGGGACTCAGAGCAGCTAACATAGGCAGCAATTCAATGTGACAATAACAATAACACCAGTATAAAACATAAATACATAAAAAGTTAAAAACATTAACAATTAGTTATATCATCACCCAGTCACACAGTCACATATCCAGTTCCAAATGGAGATGAGGACCAACCCCCAGAGTCAGGCAGGACTGGACTTAATGTCAGGGGACAACCTTTACCTTTACTTTTTATGAATTGTAATGTAAATACTTGATATGCAGAATGTATATTTATTCCCCCGACCAAATTTGCTCATTTGATATACCCAAATGTGAACACTGGTGGAGTTTGGAGAAAACCAACCTTGACATTTGGGAATTGTAGTTGCTGGGATTTATAGTTCACCTACAATCAAATACTATTCTGAACCCCACCAGCGATGGAATTGAACCAAACTTGGCACACACAACTCTCACGACCGACAGAAAATACTGGAAGGGTCTGTTGGGCATTGATATTGAGTTTGGGAGTTGTAGTTCTCCTACATCCTGAGAGCACTGTGGACTCAAACAATGATGGATCTGGACCAAACTTGGTAGAAATATGCCCAACTATGATTGCTGGCTGAGTTTGGGGAAAATAGTTGTAATTGCTGGGATTTGCAGTTCACTTACAATCAAAGAGCATTCTGAACCCCACCAACGATAGAATTGGGCCACACTTCCCACACAGAACCCCATGACCAACAGAAAATAATGTTTTTGATGGTCTATGGTGACCCTTCTAGCGGCCCCTCACAACCCCCCCCCCCCCCCCCCCCCCCCCCCCGAGAAACACTAACACCAATCCAGTGATTTCGACCATGAAAGCCTTCAACAACACATTAAGTGCCTGCCTATGGTGGCTCCCACTCATGAAAGGGGTCTGTCTTTCCACTTCCACTTTGGCGCCTGACAGAAAGAAGCGTGCACAGCACACATCCACTTCCAGCTGTAGCGCAGTCATGCTTCCTTTCCAATGGGCAGCTCCAGGAAAAAAAAGCTGTTAAGGCATTTAGGGACAGATGAGAGGCAGGTTGCTGGGTTGTGAGGGGGATCTCTGTAGTTCTTAAATGTATTTTCATATTTTATGCTCCATGATGCAAAAGATTTCTTATATGCATTCTTTAATGTAGGCCTGGGCCAACTCGGGCCTTTCGGTGTTTTGGACTTCAACTCCCACCATTCCTAACAGCCTCAGGCCCCTTCCTTTCCCCCCTCAGGCGCTCCAGGTCTGCTTTAATGCATTGGCGCATCAATTCTAACAGTGCAGATGTGTTTAAGGTCTGAGTTACTCCAGTGCAAGATACAAGGTTTAGGAACTGAAGGACAGTTTCATTGGGTGGAAAAAAATCTTGGCGGAGGACAACTTTTGTCTCTCTCTATTTTTGCAGCAATTGAATAGGACCTGAGACAGTCCAGAGCAAGTGCCGCTTTGAACCCTGTTTTTCATCCTCTCCACTAAACCACGATCAGAGGTATCGTTTTCAAAGCCATGCTGTTCCAAAATGCCACAAAGTTCAGCTGAAGATTTGACAGCTCGCTGACTCCCTTGCAAAATTTCTACCATTTGGCTGGATGGCTATCTGTCGGGGGTGCTTTGAATGCAATTTTCCTGCTTCTTGGTGGGGGGTTGGACTGGATGGCCCATGAGGTCTCTTCCAACTCTATGATGAATGTATTTGTTTTAACTGTCACACCACTTCCTGACAGAGCACAGCATTCAAGTTATTTACTTGAGTAAATTTTACCCCACTTTTCTCCCGCACCAAGGCGAGACTCAAAGTGGCTAACAATACAATCAGAACATACAAAATAAAAATTAAAACATATGCAAACCCAATAAATTCCTTGTAGCAACCTGATTATCTAAAACTGTCAGCAATAAAACCCTATTTACAAATCTACATATTTACTTTATCAAGTAGGCCTGAATTGTGTGTTTGTGTTTGTCTGCTTTTAATTGGCACACAACTGACCATTATCAAGAACTTAACAATGCAGCTTGTGGGAGCTTCACTAACTTCAAACCCTGCCAGATCAGTCCAACAATGTATCTCTTTTCAGCTCCATACCCACCAGAAAATTGGCTTAATTCTCAAAGTGTATTGTCAAAGGCTTTTGTGGCCAGAATTACTGGGTTGCTGTGAGTTTTCTGAGTTGTATGGCCATGTTCCAGAAGCATTCTCTCCTGAAGTTTGGTTTCACCCACATCTATGGCAGGCATCCATTAAATCAAAGTGGCCAGTTGCAACATTCACACATGCCTCTAGCAGACAAGAGTTCTTTCTCCCCCCCTGGACATTATTCCACAGATATTTAAACCACACTTGCCTAGTTTCCAACAGACCTCACACACCTCTGAAGATGCCTGCCATAAATGTGGGCAAAATATCAAAAGAGAATGCTTCTGGAACATGGTCATGCAGCCCAGAAAACTCCCATCAACCCAGTTCTCAAACTCTACTTCTCCTCTGCCCTTGAAATAAAGCCAATCCAGTTTTTAAGATTTTGAGGCCATAGGGCCATCTTTCTCTACAGCTTTGTCTCACCCATTATTTCCATCTGCAACTTGCCTGATGTACATTCCCCACAGGAAATCGCCCAGTGATTGCTAATGAGCATACCTACGGACACATTGCCCTCTAGTGACTAGACTGTGTATATACTTTTATCATCCCAAACATGCTCATAGAATTGCAAACTGTCAAATAACAGAAAGCCAATATAGTGTAGTGGTTTGAGTGCTGGGCTAGGAGTTTAGCTGCAGTTAAGACAGTATCACTCTGCATTCATTCTGCAGCATAGATGAACCTTGAGATGCTGAGGGACCAAGGTCCAGATCCACTCTCAGCTATGTAAACCCTTCGGGTGACAAGTCACACTTTCTCAACCTTAGAAGGAGGCAAGGGCAACAACCAACACATCTTGCCAAGACAGTCCTGTGATACATACACTGTAGGGTCACCTTGACTCGGAAATGACTGGAAGGCACACAACAATACAGTAACAAGTGATTCTTGCCACCATGGAAAGTACTGCAGGAAAGTACACATTGTGCTATAATAATAATAATAATAATAATAATAATAATAATAATAATAATAATATAATTATTAATAAGAACAGGCTATTAAAACAAATGCCATCAAAGCAAGAATTGAAAAGTCGACAACACATCACAAGTGTAGACTCTGCAAGGAAGCAAACAAAACGACAGATCACATCCTCAGTTGCTAGAAGAAGATCACACAGACAGGCTACAAGCAGAGGCATAATACCGTTGCTCAGATGATTTACTGGAACTTGTGCCAC